CAGATTACAAGAGAGATTTTAAGTTTTGCAAACTGTGTGTTGCTGAATCAGAGATGAGCCAACATCTCTTTTATAGATTTATTCAACAACAATTTGAATCTCTAAATCTCAGTGAGTTACAAATGCTATTCACTAACTGGTGTAATTTTCTGTAATGCGAACTAGCAAAAGATCCTTGTTGGATTAGTCCCTATCGGCATAAAACAGTGGACATCTACTGCACCCTTTAATGCAATAGGGCGTAGGAGACTGGGCATATCCTGGACCCATTATGTGGACACTGTTAATAATAGGGGTTAATCCCTAATAAGTATCTCCTCTGCCCTTTAAGGAAGCCATTACATTTTAATAGAAGTAAATCCATAATGGCCTTTTAGTGGCCAGGAATGTACAATGTAGTTGAGACAGCTGCCCCAGAAGATACCAGAAATTAGGTTACATTGTATGAAGGTGAAATTAAAAGAAAAACAGCACTATTCAAGGACTTCCAATTGAATAAAAATACCTGTATTGAAAATCAAAAATATAAAAATAGTACACTAGGGTAGTGCCACCATAACACGGAGTAAATTGGTTACTGCTCATATATATATATATATACAGTTATATATACATTAATCAGCCACAACATTAAAACCAACTGCCTGATATTATGTAGGTCCCCCTCGCGCTGCCAAATCAGCTCTGATGCTTTGAGACATGGACTCCTCAAGACTTCTGAACATGTCCTGTGGTATCTGGCACAAAGACATTAGCATCAGATCCTTTAAGTCCTGCAAGTTGCGAGGTCGGGCCGCCGTGGATCGAACTTGCTGTATCAGCACATCCCACAGATGCTCAATTGGATTGAGAGCTGTGGAATTTTGAGTCCAAGGGAACGCCTTGAACTTTTTGTTATGTTCCTCAAACCATTCCTGAACAAGCTTTGCAATGTGCTAGAGTTATTTCCTGCTGAAAGAGGACACTGCCATCAGGGAACACCATTGTCATAAGGGAGTGTATGTGGTCTGCAAGTAGGTGGTACATGCCAAAGTAACATCCACATGAATGCCAGGACTCAAGTTTTACGAGCAGAACATTGGCAAGCGCATAACACTGCCTCTGCCAGCCTGCCTTCTTCCCATAATGCATCTTGCTGCCATCTCTTCCCCAAGTAAATGGTGCACACACACCCATCATCCATCTGATTCATCCATGTGATTCATCAGACTAGGCAACTTTCTTCCATTGTTCCATGGTCCAGTTCTGACTCTCAAATTCCCATTGAAGGCATGTTCAGTGGTGGACAGGAGTCATCATGCACTCTAACAGGTCTGCTGCTACGCAGCCCCATTCCCAGCAAACTGTAATGCACTGTGTGCTTTGACACCTTTCTATCATGGCCAGCATTATGTTTTTCAGCAATCTGGGGGTGGGAAAAAAGGGGTGGGGAAGACAATAATTAACAAAAAATATCTCTCCTGCCTGCAGAATTAGCAATATGCAAATCTACCTGAATATGCAAATTAACAAGCCTTGCTATTCAGGTAGTGCATATTGCTGTTGCTACCAACAGAGGTCACTACACAGGCTCCATAGCCAAATCCACCTAGTTGCTAGCAATCCTCAGTAGTACAGGAGAGCAGGCAAAACATTTAACAGAATACACACACATTACAAACAAATACATTACACACACCCTGCACCTCTAATGGGTACAGGGTGACTAAAACATAGGAAAAGTCCAGCAACCTACATAAATAGTCTGTCTGAAGGTCCAGGTGATGGTGATTACTGTTACACGTAGTAAATACAAAACGGAATTGGGGGCACAACCGAGACATGCATCTTGCAGGAATGGTTCACTATTCCTCCAAAATGCATGTTCCGGGTGGGCCCCCAATTCCGTTTTGTATTTACTTAATTTATAATGTATCTTCCGGGACCTCACGCAGGTAACTGTGACCCTTTTCAATAAGTCCTGACGTACTGCTCAGATATATATAGGGAGAGAGATCTGCATTGAGTTGTATGTTTGCACATTTTATACAGCTAATGATGCCTTCTAGATTGGGGATTTTGTGTTTATAACTATGATGAATGATCTGATAATAATGACCCTATCAGAATTAATATAAGGAACACTAGCCAGCAAACCACACACTCTTCTTGACTATCAATTGCCTAAAGAATTTCTACAAACAGCGAACGAAGTGATTCATGTTGTTGTGAATGTGAATTACCAGAGCCTGAATAGGAGGGTACGGCTCTCCTGCTTCAACTTGACCTAATTAGAGAGAGAAGCACTTGCATGCATTTAGAGCAGATGCCTCATTAGTCCAACTCCCAGAACGGTTAGAGATCCTGTAACATTATTAGGCAAACTGTTGTGAAGTTGAAAAAAGGTTATTAATAAACCATGTAGATTAAAAAAAGAAGAAATAACTACAATTTTGTTAAGGTTTAGCCATCAAGCAGTCCTGAGACATGCAATAAAATGCAAATGGTGAGACAGAGGGTACCACCCTCCAGCTTTTACCCTTTATATATAGAAACATAGAAACATAGAATGTGACGGCAGATAATAACCATTCGGCCCATCTAGTCTGCCCAATTTTCTAAATACTTTCATTAGTCCCTGGCCTTATCTTATAGTTAGGATATCTCCCAACTGTCCCCATTTAGGAGGGACAATCCCTATTTTGGGCCCAAATCCCATTGTCCCTCTTTTCTATCCTATGTCCCTGTTTTCTACATGCTCCATACTGTTGTGTGTCTGAGTGTATGACAGAGCTCCACAGCTATAATACTCCCAGTAATGTGTCTGAGTGTATGACGGAGCTCCACAGCAATAATACTCCCAGTAATGTGTCTGAGTGTATAACAGAGCTCCACAGTAATAATACTCCCAGTAATGTGTCTGAGTGTATAACAGAGCTCCACAGCATTAATACTCCCAGCAATGTGTCTGAGTGTATAACAGAGCTCCACAGCAATAATACTCCCAGTAATGTGTCTGAGTGTATAACAGAGCTCCACAGCAATAATACTCCCAGTAATGTGTCTGAGTGTATGACAGAGCTCCACAGCAATAATACTCCCAGTAATGTGTCTGAGTGTATAACAGAGCTCCACAGCAATAATACTCCCAGTAATGTGACTGAGTGTATAACAGAGCTCCACAGCAATAATACTCCCAGTAATGTGTCTGAGTGTATAACAGAGCTCCACAGCAATAATACTCCCAGTAATGTGTCTGAGTGTATAACAGAGCTCCACAGCAATAATACTCCCAGTAATGTGTCTGAGTGTATAACAGAGCTCCACTGCAATAATACTCCCAGTAATGTGTCTGAGTGTATAACAGAGCTCCACAGCAATAATACTCCCAGTAATGTGTCTGAGTGTATAACAGAGCTCCACAGTAATAATACTCCCAGTAATGTGTCTGAGTGTATAACAGAGCTCCACAGCCATTATACTCCCAGTAATGTGTCTGAGTGTATAACAGAGCTCCCCAGCTTTAGTACTCCCAGTAATGTGTCTTTAAAGCATGGGTCATCAACCTGGTCCCTACCGCCCACAAGTGGGCATTTCAGGATTCCAGGTGGGCGGTAGGGATTTCGGAGGCTAAATCCTCTTTTTAAGAGGATACTCCTTTTGGGCGGGCGCGAGCGGCTCTGCGTGCGCAAGTCTTCAATGACTGGCAGGAGGAAGTGCTCCCTCCTGCCAGGCCACCTTCTGGACCCCCCCGGCATGGCAGAGTTATAATCAGACGCGGCGAGGGAGCTCTAACCTCTCTGCTCTGCTCCCTCGCGCGATGTTTGCTGATGCTGCGGGAGCCGTAATATGACGTAATATTCCGGCTCCTGGCATCAGTAGACAGTCCGCGAGGGAGCAGAGCAGAGAGGTTAGAGCTCCCTCGCCGCGTCTGATTAGCCGCCCGCCGAAGTGAAGCCCCACTGGACCCCAGGGACAGATCCACACCAGCTCTCCAGGTAGGGAGGCTGGGTGGACATTTAATATTAATAATTTGTGTGTATATGTGTTTGTCTGTAAGTGTATGTGTGTGTGTGTGTGTAAGTGTATGTGTGTGTCTGTAAGTGTATGTGTGCGTGTGTGTGTGTGTGTCAGTATGTGTATGTGTGTGTGTGTGTCTGTAAGTATGTGTGTGTGTGTCAGTAAGTATATGAGTGCAGTGTCTGTGTGTGTGTCTGTGTCTGTGCAAGTATGCGTGTGTGTATGTAAGTGTGTGTGTGTGTGTGTCTGTAAGTATGTGTGTGTGTGTGTGTCTGTAAGTATATGTGTGTGTGTGTCTGTAAGTGTGTGTGTGTGTGTGTGTGTGTGTGTCTGTGTGTCTGTCTGTGTATGTGTGAGTGTCTGTCAGTGCATGTGTGAGTATGTGTATATTTGTGTGTATGTGTTTCTATGTGAGTGTGTGTGTGTGTCTGTAAGTGTATGTGTGAGTGTTTGTCTGTGAGTGTGTGTGTCTGTAAATGTATGTGTGAGTGTGTGTGTGTGTGTGTTTGTCTGTGAGCAGAGTACTTGTAGAATAGGAGAAAGAAGGAGTAGAGTACTTGTAAAAAAGGAGAAGGAAAGAAAAGGAAAAGGAGAGAATTGTTGTTGACTAATAATAGTAAGTGGGCTACCTAGCTCAGCTTTCCTACTGGGCATTGCTATAAGTAAGGTTAAAAAATAGAAAAAAGGGGAAAAAAGGTGGGGAGGGGAATTGAGGAGGGAGAGGAGGGGAGCTGACGCTCAGATGAGAAATCATTTTATGAGCAAACAAAGAAGTCTTCTGATTATCACCGAAAGAGGAGACCTTCGTTTGTTCCTTACGAAAATCGAACCAGATATCAAATATTTCTCTCAGCATCAACCTCAAGGATCTCATTAATCACTAGTAAAGGTAATTTCAGTATACTTTATTGCTTCCTCATTAAACTTTATAAAGTTAAAAACATTATAAACATGCATAAAGTAGAAATAAAAAGATAAATGTACGTACATTTATTTATTTATTTTTAAAACACCCTCCTTTCTAAAAAATATTCCGCGCTTGCGCGAAAACTGGTGGGCGGTAAGGAAATTTTTCCATCAAGAAAGATGCATTAGTGGGCGGTAAGTGGAAAAAGGTTGACTACCACTGCTTTAAACTATGAATGTGCTTAGAAATCAGTCTGTGTAAATAAATACATTGTTCTTGTTCTAAACTACATTTTATTTCACTAAATTGTTATCAGTAACTAACTTTTCTCAGAACACCCTCACCACTGTTCTCACCCACGCTCACACCTATAAAATTAAAATCACCCACTTTGCCCATTTGGAATATGGAGAGGCATGCCATTTTGCTTTTTTCAGGTCTTTCCACATGTACCACATTGTCTTTGTTTCCCTTAATGATTAATCTTTCTCTTATGCTGTTATCATCTTTCTTGGTCCCAGATTTTTCAGTTTTGCTGTATTTTAGCAAGAACCATTTATATTACACACATACCATTTATATAGCACACATACCATTTAAAGGGACTCTCCAGTGCCAGGAAAGTCTGTTTTCCTGGCCCTGCAGGTCTCCTCTCCCTCCCACCACCCATCCCCGGTTGAAGCGGATTGCAGTAGTCAAGGCGAGAGAGAACAGTGGCATGGACCAGCACCTTAGCCGCATCTGGCGATAAGTAAGGGTGGAAGTGCGCAATGTTTTTGCAATGGAAGCGGCAGGATTTGGCGACCGACTGGATATTAGGCATGAAGAGAGGTCGGAGAGAGAACACATAGGTAGTGAGCCTTTGTGGTGTAGCTGATGGTAGCACCAGTAATGTGGAGGGAGGCAGAAACAGGAATAGCAACACTTGAGGGAGGAAAGACCAGAAGTTCTGTTTTGTAAGAGCTGAGTTTAAGGAAATGGGCAGCCATCCAGTTTGAAATAACAGAGAGGCAGTCAGAGGCACTAGTCAAGAGGGTGGGGGAGAGATCAGGGGAGAACAGATAGATTTGAGTGTCATCTGCATAGAAGTGATATTGGAAGCCAAAGAGCTGATGAAGGGAGGCAGTATAGATCGAGAACAGCAGGGGACCAAGGACTAAACCTTGGGGGACACCAACAGAGATAGGTTGGGAGGAAGAGTCAGAGCCAGATAAAGAAACACTGAAAGAACGCTAGGTGAGGTAGGAGGAACACCAGGAGACCAAGATATGGAGGATGAGAAGAAGCTGTTGATGATCAACAGTATCAAAAGCAGAGGAAAGGTCAAGGAGAATTAAGATAGAGTAGTGACCATGAAATTTTGCAGCGAGTAGATGGTTTGATACTTTGGTCAGAGCTGTTTCCACAGAGTGCTGAGCACGGAAATCAGACTGAAGTGGGCCAAGCAGAGAATTGGACTAGAGGAAGTCTGACAATATCACATACACAAGTCTTTCAAGGATCTTGGAAACAAAAGATAGTAGCGAGATAAGGTGGTAGTCAGGTGGGGAGTTATGTTCAATTTTAATCTGGACCTTCTGCAGAAGTATATTACTTCAATATCCTCATAACTCTCCCATGAACCAAAATGACTATTTCACACTTTTAACTCTGTTCTTCGCCCTGTTGCTCCTCCTCCTCCTACCGACTTAACCGCCACAAACTTTGCAACTCACTTCACTGACAAGATCTCTCATATCTCTCCTTCCCCTTACAATACTTCCCCCAACCTCACTCCCTTCTCCGCTGTTCTATGTTCATTTGCACCTGCTACAGCAGAAGAGGTTTCTGATCTACTCTGGTCCTCCCACCCCACCACCTGCATCCTTTATCCTATTCCCTCACATCTCATCCGTACTCTGTCTCCTTCTTTTGCTTTGCCTATTACTAAAATGCTATATCTCTCTTTCTCATCTGGCATATATTCATTACCCTTCAAACATGCAACTGTAGCCCTGATTCTAAAAATCATAGATTTAATTGAATAAATGACGCCCCATGGGTGCCTCCCCTGATGTAGGTGGTGGGCAGAATCACTGCTTCTATTCACAGGAAAACGAAGTTGAACTCAGGATATGGAGTAGAAAAAAATCCTTCTTTATTTAAAAGTATAAAATAAATATATGTATATATAGGCTGTTATGGTACCAGGTCCTACGCGTTTTGTCCGAATGGACTTCCTCAGTGACCTTATGGTATTTGAGTATGTAAAACAAGTACAAAATATACAATAAAAAATAAGCAATAAAATCCCACCCCCGAGAAACCGTCAGTTTCTTTATACAGCTGTATGTAATCAAATTTCCGGTAATCAAATTTGCCGAAGTGACATCACGGAAGCAAGAGAGCCCGGGAAATTTTATTACATACAGCTGTATGAAGAAACTGACACCCTGGGAAGCACAATAAGAAGAATCCACCATCAGTATAAAAGAAAGGACTCGGGGAGGGATTTTACTTCCCTCGGGGAGGGATTTTACTTCCCTCGGGGAGGGATTTTACTTGTTTTTACTCAAATACCAGGAGGTCCCTGAGGAAGTCCATTCGGACGAAAAATGCTTATTTTTTATTGTATATTTTGTACTTGTTTTACTGCTGTTACACACTTGAATTTTTGAGTTTTTGAAAATGTGTAACAAATTATACAAACATTATATTAGGGGAAGGTGAGGGAAGGAAAACTTGGAAGTGGGAAAGGGTGTCCATTCATTATACTAATACAAATACTAATGTACATAATATAAATTGTGCAATGATACAATTCAACAATAAATCAGCTATTTATAAATGATAGACTTTTTTTAACATCTTCTTCCCACTTGTCCCAATTAGATTTTAGTTTTGTGAAAGAGTGCATATTGCTCCTATGTGACAATTCGTATGCTTTATTGTCAAGAACCAAGTTAAAAACCTCTCTAACTAATGGTGTATATTTTGTCTTCCAATATCTTGGCAAGCATGAGGTAGCAGCAATTAAGATGTGGCCTATTATTATTTTGTCAATTCTACTAATGGACTAGGGGAGTTTCTTAAATAATGCAAGCTCCGAAGTTAACATAGCGATAGTTCTATCTACTTTAACAATTAGATCATGAATCATTTTCCAGTACTTTGCAATTTTGGGACAATAACACCATATATAAGCCATATTTCCCAAACCCCCGCAGTCCCTCCAGCACCGGTCAGAATACATGTTATTCATGTTATGCAGTCTGGATGGAGCCAAGTACCAGCAGTATAGAATTTTGTAGTGGTTCTCAAAGTGGTCGGTACAGAACGAAATCCCTTTTAATGTTTTGAAAAAACTGAACCACTCGTAAAGCTCGTATTGTGTACTTAGCTCCGTCTCCCAAGAGATCATGTGTTTCAGTTTGCCCTTACAATTTGGATTATACAAAAACTATTTTTCTAATGTTGTTAACTCTAGTGATTTATAGTTTTTATCAGTGTCTGGTACATTACATATTTCTTTCAATTGTTCAATAATAAACATGCATTCTTCTTTATGTTCATTCGTTAGTCCGTGTCTAAGTTTTAATTTTTCAAATTGAAGAATGGCATTACCATGTAAAAAACTATCTATGTTTGTTATATGATACCCTTTCATTAAATCTAGATTCAAAAAGGGCATATGGTCTTTCAATAATTCAATTGGCATTGCTCTATACACTCTTGCAGTGTGGTTGTTGTTTTTAAAAATTACGTCCCAAGCCTTAAGGGTGTTTTTTGTTGATAAAAATAGTTTAGTGGCGCTAGGTCTTTTTTTAGGACATAGCCAGGGCAATTCCGTAAGTCGAAACGGAAGAATATTTGACTCTTCTATTTCCATCCATCTTGGCCTGCTAGAATGACTATTAAAGCTCACACCACTGCAGCATTAGTAGCAAAGTAGTACTTGCAGATGTCCGGTACCCCAACACCGCCATCGGATTTGTGATGCTGCAGGTAGGTGAGCTTTATCCTGCTAGTTTTGCTCCTGCAAACAGATTTTAACATTACTGAATGGATTTTATTGAAAAAAGATATTGGAATAGATAGAGGTATAGTCCTAAAGTAATATAAGATTTTTGGAAGAACTGTCATTTTAATAGATGCGATTCTCCCTAGCCATGAGAGTTCCATCCCGCCCCATCTCTCCATCTCTTTTTGTAGATCTGACCATGCTTTCCTTAAGCTATAAATATGCATACTTACTAAGTTTTTTCATAAATAATGCCTAGGTATTCTAAGTAATCATTTCTCCAATCGAACAAATACATTCTCTTAAGAGTGGTAACTTCTGAGTGATTTATATGGAATGGGAGGACCTGAGACTTGGACTCGTTTAATTTGTAATACGATACTTCTCCAAATCGAAGTAAAATATCCTTAAGATATTGTAAGGATTTTTTTGGATTTTTGAGTGCCAGAATTATATCATCAGCAACTAAACCAATTTTGTGAGTGGATCCTTTAATAGTTATTCCTTCAATTTCTGGGGTCTTCCTAATCAGTTCAGCCAGGGGTTTCATGGCCAAGACAAACAGAATTGGAGATAAAGGGCAGCCCTGTCTCGTCCCATTAGTGAGAGAAAAAGTATGGGATTTAAAACCAGAGGCTGAGACATGGGCCAAAGGGTCACAGTATAACGCCCTTATTGTGTTAACAAAGAACAAAGGGATATTAAATCTTCGTAAAGTGCTCCATAAATAGCCCCAGTGTATTCTGTCAAACACCCTCTCTGCATCCAATGAAAGAAGCAAAGAAGGCATTTTGATCGAATTAATTTGCTGAATCAAATCAATAAACCTTCTGGTCCCATCCGGTGCCTGTCTCCCTTGCACTAAACCCACTTGGCCACTATTAATTAATAAAGAGATTAATTTAGCTAACCTGTTTGCTAAAACTTTAGAGTACATTTTTAAATCATTATTTATCAGAGAAATGGGCCTAAAATTAGGACACCTATCAGGAGTTTTCCCCGGCTTTGGCAAGGTGGCTATTTGTGCGCACAAGGACTCCTCCAACATCCTCCCCTTGGTCTCATAAGAATTAAATAATTTTGTCATATGGGGAATTAAGATTTCTGGAAAGGCTTTGCAATATGAAATAGTGAATCCATCAGGACCAGGGGCCTTTCCAGATGGCATAAGTTTAATTGCCTCAGCTATCTCGTCAGCTGAAATGTCACATTCTAAGCTTTTTAGATTGCTGTGTCCTGGAATTCTGACAGATTGTTTTGTTGTAGAAGCTAGAATGTTAATTACAAGAGATTAACTTTCTATTGAGATAGGAATGGTTTCTTTGGGATATACAGTGGTCGGTCTACTGAAGAAGTTCAGAATTGATCTGTGTATATTTTTTAAAATGTAAGATATTGGTGGATACACTAAATGAAAATCAAATTAATCTCCAACTTACTCACGTCATACACGAGAGACAACTGGTCTTCCTGGACTTGACAATTAACATTCTAGACGATGGGAAAATCACCACGTCATTATTTAAGAAACCCATCGCAACTAACAGTTTGCTTCATTGGCAAAGATTCCATCCACACCATGTCAAGGCCAATACCTTATGGCCAGTGTCTTAGAGCATAAAGGAACTGCTCAAACCAGGAAGACTATGAGAAGGAAGCAAAGAAACTAAGAAACAGATTTAAAAGCCTAGGCTACCCTAACAGAATTTTAAAGAAAGCCTATCAAAGAACTAAAGCTGTTGATAGATCAGAGAGCTTACACAGACCCCCTAAAAATACATCAACGACTCCAGGCGTCACGAGATTTATAGGTACATACGATAGACATTTGAATCAGGCACTACAGGTGTTGAGTAGAAACTGGCCGGTATTACAGTATGATGCATGCCTTAAGAACACAATCACGAATCAGCCTTCAATGACCTATCAAAGAGCAAGAAACCTGGCAGATCATTTAACACACAGCCATTTAAAACCAGCACAAACTACATCTACATGGCTCCAAACCAAAGGTCTTTTCAAATGTGGCCACTGTAAGTCCTGGAGCTTTATTTTACCATCTAAAACTGTGCACAATAAAAGAACATCCAAAGACATAGTTGTCAATTCTTTTATCAACTGCAGTTCTACGAATGTTATTTATCTTATAACATGTGAATGTGGATTACAGTACATTGGCAAAACGTACCAACAATTACGTCGACGGATTCTACAACATATCAATTCCATCACAAACCCACATATTGACACGCCTATTGCCAAACATATACGACTAAATCATGCTTCTAAATCCAGTTCATTAAAGTTTTAGGTGACCCAAAAAATATTTCAGAATCATTGAAAGGGAGATATCAATATTTCTCTACTAAAGGCTGACTCTCGCTGGATCTACTCATTTCAAACTTTATACCCTAAAGGACTAAATGAGGAGTTTAATTTTATTCCGTTCATTCATGCCTAAAGATATGGGATGGGCTTCTCTCTCGCTGATATCTCAGTTAAATATCTATATGATCAGCAATTTAAATATGCTTTTGCAACATTTAGCCATGATATTATAAATTTTGAATGTGTAGATATACCTAAGAAACTAGGGGTTTGAGTTATGATTATAACTGTAATTTTTCATGTCTATGGACTGACATTTACTTTGATTTTTTTTTTCTATTTTTGTTAATTTTTTCCAGGACTTTTAGAACCACCATGAGATACTATTTGGTGCCTGACAGGAGAAAATAAGTTTGCACTATCAATTAGGAAACACAGAGAAAAGAGCAACATATTGGGCACAACAATGTTGCTTCATAACTATCAACTATCTTTCTCACTAGATTTCTCCTTACAAAGAGTCAGATGTAGGTCAGGGATTTTTAAGTTTATTTTACCCACTTTTCTTCTTGATACTATTTGCTGGATCATCTAAGACTATACTGTTCGTTTTTGTTGATTCACATTATATTAGAGCATCTTAATACATTAGATTTGTAATTACATTGTTCACATTAACCTATCTCCTTCACAGTACACCGAGCCACTCAGGGTTAACTGTGGAAGGAGCTAGGCTCCACCCCCCCCCCCCACTTGGGCAAGATCAGCAGCCAATCATGAGAGAGGGCGGGATATTTAAACAACGGTTTAACTTACACTCGGTTCCCTTGGAAGAGCCGATTTTCGGCGAAACGCGCGTCGGGACTAGTTTAGTGGAGGGTGGAGGTGTTGGACAGGGACGATGCTGCAGCTGTGACTTTCCTCTTTATTTATTTTATTCGGACTGTGCTTAGACGTTTGGTTAGAAAGTTTAAACCGAAAGTTGGAGGTGTTTGTCACTACGGTGATACTGGGTGATAAGAGTGGGGTGGTGATACTGGGCTATTACATTCAGACCACGCTTTAACCCCTCAATCCCGCATCACCTGTGCCAATATTCGATCTAAGTGACACTCTTTGATAAATATCCTTATTATGGTTTCTCTCTCCTCTAACTATTTCTTCACACAGCGACTGTGCTTTTTTTCATTTTAATATTTTATTATTTAAAGTTATATTTTATCAGATTATGGGTTGCTGAAATTGTACTAGTAACCTGTAGGTTTAATATCTAGATTTATTGTAGCCTCCAGGTTTTCTTGTACCTCTTCTTTTTAGTTAGTTATCCAGTAGGGGTTACCCCCATTCCATTTTTCATTAGCAACCTGACACACTCTCTTTATCTTTTCTTTCGAAATAAATATTTTTTTAAATGTAGGTTCTTTAGTATATATCCCTATTTTTATATAAGCACAAACAAAGAGATATCTACTAGAAATTTGCTACGTGTTTTTCCCTTGCTTCTGATATTATGCAACCACATCTCCTGGAATCCTGTTGTATACAATCCTTAACAGGTGACAAAATATACAGTCTGCGCACAAAACAAATTATTCGGTCCCTGAAACAAGCATATTTGTATGAATTCCAAAACAGAATACCTGAGTCTGCCCTTGTCGGCTTCCTGGCTTCATCATAAAGCGAAATGTATCAGCCCTCATGCATACCTGTGATAAAATGAAAGCAGTTCAGCATGAAAAGACCTGACTTAAACAGTCATTTACGTTAGCCTTCAAACACTTATCAAGTTAATGAACAGCAATGAGAAATGAAATATGAATAACAAATTAAATGCAAAATAGAAAAACTAAATTCTAATGTAACTCATATGTTGCATAGTGATATAATTCCTTGTAAAGGTAACTTTCAATCCCTTGATAACAATTTATATTAAAATAAGATAAGTAACGCCATTGATTTGTTTGTTTTTTGAGAAATGTAAATATTTTTTTTAAACTATATTCCCCTTAAATACTTTTTTTTTTAATAAGCATTAACCATTAGGTAATAAAATAAAAAAAATCCATTATCCTTCCGCTACAGTGACATCTTCCTGGACCGATTATTTAGTCCTTTCAATCCCTACAGAGATAATATAACTGTGAATTATGAAATGTCAGAAAGTGATGTGTCAGTACAGATGAGACATCTTTAATAACTTCACCTACACCTACCTCTCAACAACACAAGATAGGATCTAACATTCAGTAATTTCCAATGAAAATATGCATCATCTTTTCAGTGGCTGTTAAAATAATTATTTTAATGTTCTGCCAATGGCATTCAAGATAAAACATTTTGAATCGCTATGTTTCAAGTCTAACGTCATAAAATATGTAACTGTAGCAAGCCATATATTCTGTGCTTTAACCTATCACACAGATACGCTAGCCAATATTACAACGTGTTGACATCAAGATATAAATACTTCACAACATGTTGACATTGAAAAATAAATAACTCACTTTCCCAGTGTTATATAAAAAGAATGACTTTATAACTATCCTTCCAAAGTTTAACTTTTTTTTTAAACTTTCTTAACTCACATATTTCATATTACAAACTGTAGAACCACAAGTACATAAAATTGTCTTGTACATTCTTCTGAGTTATTTACTAAGAATTGGAAATAAATGATAAGGATGTTGCAAATTTTAGACCAAAATAAAGGAGCTGAAAAATTGCAGTGAATTGTCTAACTGGGCATAGAATGTACAATTCCTGTGTTAATTCTCCCGGTTAATGGATAAATATATTTCGGAAACAGCAACTAACAATTAACAAATATAAAATATTAATAAACCAAAATCAATCATCCAAAGATAATTCTAGTGTTGTATCACTTTAATGCGAATTGATTTTATGTTTTAAAATTGAATAATTTCATAATTATCAGATCATTGCAAAATGTGATTAATAATAATAAAGTAATCAACTATAGCATGTCTGTTAATATAGGCTGATTAGCATCAATAAACTGCTGGAATTTTCTACCTCCAAATACCATATGCAAAGAAGGTAGACAGTGCTCCAGATTAGACTGGTTATGTACCCACAGATGCAATGGTTTCAAATGGGTATTTACTTATTCATCTAATCTCTACAATGTATAAAATAAATAAATTAAAACATTAAAAAAGCAGGACATTTTTTTTTCTTTCAAATATAGGATGTACACCTTGTAAATTAAGAGAAAAACATGATAAAAATGTGAAGAAATGTCTGCTGGAATTTGAAAGCATCTTACCAAAATCTCAACAGAATAAAATATGTAATAATATAATATATACAATATAACGTATATATATATAATATAATATATGCCCTAACAACTCCCCTGGCTGTGACTTACACAGCCTGCATTTAGATGTTAAGTTACTTTAGAACTTTTTATCTCCTGCTCTGTAAATTTAACTTTAATTATACACAGGAGATTCCTGCAAGGTCTAGTGGGTTATTAACAGATGAGGAGATACTAGATTCTAAATTAAACAGACTGCGGAATAAAGGAAGTATAAACGATAGATGACTCTTTACAGGAAGTGTTTAGAAAGGCTGCATAGGTCATATGCAGGGCGGTGTGACTAGGGCTGCAAAACAAAGTGATTTAACTCCTATATGGCAGATAATTGAGCAGTGAGACCACAGAGAACTGATCTATACACCAAAACCACTTAATTAAGCTAAAGTTATTTTATGAACTATAGTGTCCCTTTAACATTTACAACAGAAAAGATAGTTTATAATTGTTATTCCAATCTATCTAGAATTCTGAAAATAAGGTATTGCTTTAAATAGACTTTATTGTCCTACTCAAATACAATATTGAAGAAAATTACACCCAGGAATTATCCGATTACCTTCACAGCATGGAACTGGGTAGTCCATTTTATTATAACACTTTATTGACCTCAGGGCTAACTAGAACTCCAATTTCATGGAAATAAACTATTAAGATTTTACTTTTTATAAGGTTGTCATAAAAAAGTAATGGCCGTTTCACTTTCTGTAATTTGCCATTTCCAAGATATGAACCCAAAACGAATTATAAGATAATAAAATTCTGCTAAATTGGTATGATACTCATTAGATTCTGCCACAATCCCAATATTTTATCAAATTATATTTAAAATGTTACTGCAATAATCACAACTCTGTGACTTTGAACTGATTATTTTAGTTTAATGTCACAAGAAAATATTACACCTTAAAGTGCTGCGACTTTTTAACATGAAAGTTCATTTTATTTAAGAAATATATTGTAATAGAGAACTGTATTATGCTACAGTACACAGACACAATTGGATTTCAAAAATGCTATAATCCATGCAGTCAGTCAGATATTGAAATCTATTTGCTAGTTGGTACAGACAAGGAATTCACTAGTTGGTACAGACAAGGAATTCACTAGCTGGTACAGACAAGGAATTCACTAGTTGGTACAGGCAAGGAATTCACTAGCTGGTACAGACAAGAAATTCTCTAGCTGGTACAGACAAGGAATTCACTAGCTGGTACAGACAAGGAAGTCACTAGGTGATACAGACAAGGAATTCACTAGTTGGTACAGACAAGGAATTCACTAGTTGGTACAGACAAGGAATTCACTAGTTGGTACAGACAAGGAATTCACTAGGTGATACAGACAAGAAATTCACTAGCTGGTACAGACAAGGAATTCACTAGCTGGTACAGACAAGGAAGTCACTAGGTGATACAGACAAGGAATTCACTAGTTGGTACAGACAAGGAATTCACTAGTTGGTACAGACAAGGAATTCACTAGCTGGTACAGACAAGGAATTCACTAGCTGGTACAGACAAGGAATTCACTAGGTGGTACAGACAAAGAATTTACTAGATGGTACAGACAAGAAATTCACTAGCTGGCCTAATTCTTAAGCCACAACACCATTACTCATTCAGTAAAATATATATATATATATATATATATATATATATATTTAAAAAAAAGCAGAAAAAATGCCTTAAATAATGGGGGAAATCCTGTGGCTAAAGTGACCATGTATAGATTTCCTCTAAGCAGTCATATGGTGGCCTAAAAGTGCACTCATGTCATGTCAGGATATTTATATCGGCAGACATTTTGTGCTAAGAAAAAAATTAAAAGTGTATATTGCCAGAGTCACTCAGAACAGAGCAGACTCCATTTTGCTATCTTCAGGATAACAAAGACACATAATTTCCTTAATTTCACTAACCACTGAGCCTGAGCTAAGGAATGCATTATATAAACACAGACACTAATGACAGAGAAGACTAAGTAATTAATTTTACTTTCTAAATTTTACAAGGTCCCATTGTAAGTAAGGGGTGAAATTGAGTTTAGAACTGTCTTACACACTTTAGTCTTACACACTTTAGTGTATCTTATACTCCTCTTGTGTCTTACACCTCCCTGTAATGTATCTTATACCCCACCATTTTTCCGTTTGTGTTACTTGCATCACCTTTGTATGTCTCTTACTTCCCCCAGCCCTTATGTGTGTCTCTTTTTTCCATCCCCAGATCTTCTGTATGGCTCTTTCTTCCCTCAGCCCCTTTTCTGTCTCTTTCTCCCCAAGCCAATTTTCTGTGTCTCCCACCCCATCATATTATCTGTCCTCCAACTCCTCTGTTTTTCCCCTTCCCTGGCACCTTTGTGTGTTTCTTTCTCCCTTTCCCCAGCATCTTGTCTATTTCACCAAGCCCTTTTGTGCATCTCTTTCTCCCCACAGCTCCTCTGTGTCTCTCTCTCTCCTCCCAGCTATTCTGTTTGTCTCTTTCTTCTCCCAGCCCCTCTGTGTAAGTCTCTCTCTCCTCCCAGCCATTCCGTGTGTCTCTTTCTTCTCCCAGCCCCTCTGTGTGTATCTTTCTACTGCAAGTCCCTCTGTGTGTCTATTACTTCCCCAGCTCCTCTTTGCATCTTCTTCTACTCTCAGCTCCTCTATGCATCTCCCCCCCCCCAGCCATTCTGTGTATCTCTTTCTCCCTAGCCCCTCTGTGCATCTCTTTCTCCTCCCAGCCCCTCTGTGTGTCTCTTTCTCCTCTCAGCCCCTCTGTGTGTCTCTTTTTCTTCCCAGCCCCTCTGTGTGTTTCTTTATCCTCCCAGCCCCTCCCTGTGTCTCTTTCTCCTGTGTGTCCTCCCAGCCCCTCCATGTGTCTCTTTCCTCTGTGTGTCTCTTTCTCCTGCCAGCCCCTCTGTGTGTCTCTTTCTCCACACCGCCCCTCTGTGTGTTTCTTTCTCCTCTCAGCCCCCTTGTGTGTCTGTTTCTCCTGCCAGCCTTCTGTATGTTTCTCCCCTGCAGCTGGTCACCTGGACATTGTGCCTCCCAGGCTGGTGCGCCCTATGGTGACTTTATGGGTGCCCCAGTTCTGACCACACTGCAATACTTAGAAGCATAGTATTTTATTATGGTGGAGGTAAAACAAAGCAGGTGAGCTATAAACGCATATTGCAGCTATTTGTTTTCCCCAAAACCTATATAAAATTGTAGCAGAATTCAGGAATCCAGAATACAAGCTCATGAGAGAAACAATGCTATATAGAATATAAATCTGTAATTCTGATTTAATTGTTACGCATGTCATTTTAACAAAGCAAAATCTGGGGTTTTCCATGGCAGTATCCAGCAGTATTTTAATATAATATTCTACATTCTATTTTTCCAGTGTAATAGGGTTTATTTAGATGAGTCCAAGATAAGCCAAGCCATGTTACTAATTGCTATAAGTTACATAATTTATATAAACTAGTTCCTCCTGACCTTTCCTACACAGAGTTCAGTATCTTTTAAGTGCATTCAATGAAGACCTATATGTACATAAAGCTTTTATGATGGATCATTGGTTCTCTGACAAATTAAAAAAAAATATATCTTCAGATTGTAAACAACGACAGTTGTGGATTGTGCTCACTGCCGTGCCAAAAATCAGCACAGAGAATACAATGCAAAAATAGAGAAAAAACACAATGTGAAATTTAGTGACCATTTAGTAATTAATATATTTAATTAGGAGCACCAAAAATAAACGTTTTGTGACTCCTGTCCTTTTCTCAATGTACAATGTACTTAGTGTAATAAACAAACTCACCAATAGATATAGGAAAATAGTGAAAGGATATTGAAACATTGTGTTAATACAAATCACATTTTATTACAAAAAGAGGTCAAATTAATGTACCTTTTGGATACTGTGTCACTTTATGGGATACAAGTAAAACTAGAATGCCACTGGTTTTTATAATATATGAGTTTGGGTACCGACTGACGGTAAGACTCACGCTTGTGGGAGGTGTGTTTCCCCAGAGTCTTTGTATATTATTGGTATATTCACTTATCCATTCTGTTCTGTTTTTTTGCTTCTGATTATTTCTATTATTTTGGTGTGTCTGTGCATTTAAACAATTCTGTATATGGGACAGTAAGTCATATTGTGATATGTATATAGGTAAGGATTAAACCATGGCTAAATGTATACATTGTCTATCTTAGGCTTTCTTATAATGTTGCTGGGTATACCTGTATGTGTATTACGATCTTGTAGATTTCTATTTAGAGTAGAGCTTTATTTAGCTATATTTTGTTGTTATTTTATTTACTAACAGTCTTGCCGTGCTGCCCGTGTTTGGCAAAAGACTCCAACCAACCATTTCCATGGAGTCCTTTGTGCCGACATTTGTGACGTGTGATGTCACAAGATCTCTCGCAATCTCGTTGGGAGCTCTGGCGCAGTTTTTTGCATAGGCTGGGAACTTCAGTTTGATGAGTGAATGGTCCTTTTACTATTTTTCTATATATACTGTTTTTTTACATTGCTCAAATTCTGGGGTTGAAATAATATACTCTTGGTTCTACTCCTACACAATTTAAATTCTCCAACATGGACCTGATATTGCAGTTGGTTGATTAAAGATTTTCGTGAGCTAATTTTTTATCTCATGTAGATTAATGACCAGTGGACTTCATTATTCAAAATCTGTCCGATTTTGCATTCCTTATAGCACAGACCTAAGCTATTTTTGGTCCCCTATTCTTCTTATGAATGTTCAGGCTACAAAATACTTTAACTCTGAAGATTTAATTTTTGAAGAATATTATTTGCATATCCTTGGACTTTGAATAATTCAAAAACCTCTACATGTTGCAGATGACTCATTTTTATTTTATAATAACATTGATACAATTATAGAAACATAGAAACATAGAAACATAGAATGTGACGGCAGATAAGAACCATTCGGCCCATCCAGTCTGCCCAATTTTCTAAAAACTTTCATTAGTCCCTAGCCTTATCTTATAGTTAGGATAGCCTTATGCCTATCCCATGCATGCTTAAACTCCTTTACTGTGTTAACCTCTACCACTTCAGCTGGAAGGCTATTCCATGCATCCACTACCCTCTCAGTAAAGTAATACTTCCTGATATTATTTTTAAACCTTTTGTCCCTCTAATTTAAGACTGTCCTCTTGTTGTGGTAGTTTTTCTTCTTTTAAATATAGTCTCCTCCTTTACTGTGTTGATTCCCTTTATATATTTAAATGTTTCTATCATATCTCCCCTGTCTCGTCTTTCCTCCAAGCTATACATGTTAAGATCCTTTAACCTTTCCTGGTAAGTTTTATCCCGCAATCCATGAACCAGTTTAGTAGCCCTTCTCTGAACCCTCTCTAAGGTATCAATATCCTTCTGAAGATACGGTCTCCAGTACTGTGTACAATACTCCAAGTGAGGTCTCACCAGTGTTCTGTATAATGGCATGAGCACTTCCCTCTTTCTACTGCTAATACCTCTCCCTATACAACCAAGCATTCTGCTAGCATTTCCTGCTGCTCTATTACATTGTCTGCCTACCTTTAAGTCATCAGAAATAATCACCCCTAAATCCCTTTCCTCATATGTTGAGGTTAGGACTCTATCAAATATTCTGTACTCTGCCCTTGGGTTTTTACGTCCAAGATGCATTATCTTGCACTTATCCACATTAAATGTCAGTTGCCACAATTCTGACCATTTTTCTAGTTTACCTAAATCATTTGTCATTTGGCTTATCCCTCCTGGAACATCAACCCTGTTACATATCTTAGTATCATCAGCAAAAAGACATACCTTACCATCAAGACCTTCTGCAATATCACTAATAAAAATATTAAAGAGAATGGGTCCAAGTACAGATCCCTGAGGTACCCCACTGGTGACAAGTCCAAGCTTCGAATATATTCCATTAACTACAACCCTCTGTTGCCTGTCACTCAGCCACTGCCTTACCCATTCAACAATATTTGAATCCAAACTTAAAGATTGCAGTTTATTGATAAGCCTTCTATGTGCAACAGTGTCAAAAGCCTTACTGAAATCTAGGTAAGCAATGTCTACTGCACCACCCTGATCTATAATTTTAGTTACCCAATCAAAAAAATCAATAAGATTAGTTTGGCATGATCTCCCTGAAGTAAACCCATGTTGTCTCTGATCTTGAAATCCATGTGTTTTTAGATGTTCATCAATCCTATCCTTTAACATGGTTTCCATCACTTTCCCCACTACTGAAGTAAGGCTTACTGGCCTATAGTTGCCCGACTCCTCCCTATTACCTTTCTTGTAAATGGGCACAACATTCGCTAACTTCCAATCTTCTGGGACTACACCTGTTAACAATGATTGGTTAAATGTGTAATTTGTTTTAGAGATATAGGTATACATATAAATTATTTATGTGTTTACATTGCATGTCTCAATATGTGTACCTGAACCGTGAGGCTTCACATATTCAAGATTTAAGATTTATGAATAAACGTTGTCACTGGTAACGGACTGCATTCTCATCCACTAATGGTATGACACTTTCTTGTATATATCCAGCTATTCCTAGTAACAGCTACAAATTATAATTTCTAATGGTCATCACCTCTCAGAATTCCATTACAATAAGTGACTAAAGTAATAACTTGTGTAGCAATCACGACATTGCGTGCGTCTCCCGCACTGTCACTCGCAAAGCTGACTGCTGTTGACATGTTTTTTTCTCACCTTACAAATTATTCTAGGAGGCTTTAAAAAAAAAAAAAATTTGCCCTGAAAATCAGACTTCAGGATGATTAAATAGATAACATTTCATGCATGGTAGAAAAAGACTTTTCAACGTCTCTTGGTCCTTCATTACACTGGTGATTTATGGAATTCATTCCATATTAAAACACAATTAAAAATAGGAAATGGCTATATGCACTAATTACTGGCCCTCCTGTTACTGTAAGGTACATGTACGGGATAATTAAACTACTAGCTGATGTGGAACATCAAGACCCAGCCTACACATTTCCTCGTTCAGATTCCACCACTCAGTGCTATCGATTCCTGTCCACTGAATGTAAAATCTCAATTACTCAAACTGATTGGATTAGATACTGCAAATAATTGTATGCCTTAGAGGAGTTACTGAGATACCTACGCATTCTTCAACAAAGAGAGGTGATGATAATGTAATATCTTAAAAATTCATGCAAGTAACCGTACAGTAAGATAAAAATATCTAGGGAATATGTGGCTCGGGTTGAGATAGCAGTTTAACCCTGCAGAATTATAGGGAAAGAAAAATGTGGAAATCTGGTTAGTAACGGCAAGGAAGTGCATAATATTCGTCTTAGGTCATCATATCGTACGCGCCAATCATTGAGAAGTCTTCTAGCAAAGCTGAAGTAGGCTGTAATCACACACAGTAGAGATTAATATATAATATTATATCTTTTTGGAATGTAGCTTTTTTTTCTAAATGGTCTTTAAACTGCAGGATTTAAATGAAAATTGCAGACTGAGAACTATTTGTGCTCAGTGTATCACAAATTCATTTTATACGAAAATAACAAGCCATGAGGAATTAGGTAGAAATTAGGTGAAGTTAGCAGAAAAGCCTTAACTAAATGTGCAGTTTTAAGAAAAAACAAAAACAAAGCATCTGGTAGATTTTTCTATAAACTTAACTTGTGTAGCATTTCTTTACAGTGATAGAGATTTCATTGGTTAAAAGATAACAACAATGTCAATAATTTCCAATTCAAAGGGGACTCCAGGAACCACAAGCACTACAATTATATGAAGTGTTTATGGTGACAAGAGTGTCCCATTAGATCACTATAGTTGTGCAGCACTAGCCACTCCTACAATGGCTTTCCATTTTGACTCTATGTTACATTCAGTTTAGCTTTAGCCAGGCGCGTACCTGGAGCATTTGGCACCCGGGGCGGATCCTGTGCTTGGCACCCCCTTGCTCCCTCCCCCAAATTTTTTTTTTAAATGTTTTCTTTTTTTTTACAATTTGTAAACTTTGCAAAACCGCTGTCAGCCCCTCCTTCAAAACCCTTGTCCTTCCCCGCCCCCTCCTTTAAAACCCCTGTCCTGACCACTTCTACAAATCCTATACTGCCCCCCATCTACAATACCCCAGCAACCCCTTTACACAAATCCCCTGCTTATGCCCCCTTATAAAGACTCCTGTCCTAATACAAAACCCCTGCCCCCTTTTTACAAAATCCCTGCAGACCCACACACACATTTATAGGCAGACAGTCACATACACAGTTACAGGCATACAGTCACACACAGTTACAGGCAGACAGTCACACGCACACAGTCACATGCACATAGTTACAGGAAGACAGTCACATTTACATTGACACACACATGGCAGCAGCAGTCACATGCACACAGTCACAGACAGATAATCACACACATGTTTACAGGCAACATCAAACAGTCACATGCAGACAGTCACACATACATAGTCACATGCAGTCACACACACAGTCATAGGCAGACAGTTACACACACAGTCCGTTACATGTAGTCACACACAGTCATAGTCAGACAGTCACGCACACAGTTACAGACAGACAGTCACATATAAAGTCACTCACACACACAGTCACAGGCAGAGAGTTGCACACACACTTACAGTTACAGGCACACAGTTACATGCAGACAGTCACACATACAGTCACAGACAGTCATGCACACAATTACAGGCAGACAGTCACATATACATTGACACACACACACACGACAGCAGCAGACAGTCACAAGCACACAGTCACAGACAGATAGTCACACACACGGTTACAAGCAACATCAAACAGTCACAGGCAAACAGTCACACATACATAGTCACATGCAGTCACACACACAGTTATAGGCAGTCAGTTACACACACAGTCAGTTACAGGTAGTCACTCACAGTCATAGCCAGACAGTCACGCACACAGTTACAGACAGTCACATATACAGTCACTCACACACACAGTCACAGGCAGAGCGTTGCACACACACTTACAGGCAGACACATACACACACAGTCACATGCAGACAGTCACACATACAGTCACAGACAGTCATGCACACAGTTACAGGCAGACAGTCACATATACATTGACACACACATGACAGCAGCAGACAGTCACAAGCACACAGTCACAGACAGTCACACACACGGTTACAGGCAACATCAAACAGTCACAGGCAGACAGTCACACATACATAGTCACATGCAGTCACACACACAGTTATAGGCAGACAGTTACACACACAGTCAGTTACAGGTAATCACACACAGTCATAGCCAGACAGTCACACACAGAGTTACAGACAGACAGTCACATATGCAGTCACTCACACACACAGTCACAGGCAGAGAGTTACACACACACACACACACTTACAGACAGACACATACACACACACACAAAGTTACAGGCAGACAGTCTCACACACACATACATACACAGTTACAGACAGTTTTACACACACACACACATACATACACACACACAGTTACAGACAATTTTACAAACACACACACACACACTGTCACAGTCACACACTATTACTTACAGACAGTGGGCTGGAGGAGGACTGGATTCCCTGAAGCCTGTGGAGAGGCAGGGATTCCATCTTGCTGCACCTCCATGTGCAGCAGTGACAGCAGCCGGTAAGGGCCATATCAAGCCCCGTGCCCGCTGCCGGATTGGCTCTGCCCCGATTTTTAATTAGCTCCGCCCCCATTTTACCTCCGTGCGGCCAGTTCAGCTGCTCTTTGGTGTGTGAGCTGTTCTGGCCACACGACACCCTAACTACCATGGGGCACTGTGCGGCCACAGCTCACACAGCCCCCTCTAGCCCCAAGATCAGGGTCATGGCACCCCCTACCCTATTGGCACCTGGGGCGGACCGCCCCCTCTGCCCCCCCCCCTTAGTCCACCACTAGCTTTAGCCCAATATTTATTTTAAGGTTTGTTGGTGATGAGGTATTCTTTCTTGTCTCTCTAGTTTATAGAATAAAATTATTGAAAGTATTTTATTATTTTAACATAATTTAAAATAAAAAAATCCAGTATTTCATTATTTAGTTAGTATTATATAGTTATATATATATATATATATATATATATATATGTATATGTTTTTTGTTTTTTTACTAATATATATTTTTATGTGCATATACATTTCAAATGTGCTTGTTGTATATGCACTATAAAACTGAATTTGAGAAACATTTTGATTGGTCACTTCTCAGCTCAAACAATGAAGTTTGTAGTTGGCAAAAGGGGTGGGTCAGCATTGCTGTAGAACGCACGCTTGGCTGCTCAGAAAGGGTAGGTTGTATGGCAGTTAGGAGGATAATTTTGCAATACTAGCACAAGGCATGTTAACTGCATTGTTCAAATGTGTTACAAATATTCATTTTGAATGCTAAAGTATCCCATCAAATAACTCTAGTATGAAAATAACATTGTATCAAAGATG